CACTACCAGCTCCAATCCTGCAAATCCCTTATTATGCCAAAGACTTAATCTCTCAGTGCCTCAATTCCCCACTGTAAAATGGGAATACAAATACTTCCTTTCTCATCCCCCCCTTCTCGGTCTTTATCCCTACAGTTTAGCTCTGTGTGATGTTTTCAGACTAGATTATTCACTGAAAAATGCTGGTTTGAGTAACCTGAAACTATTTGCAAATTTGACACAAAGCTGCTGAATAGTTTTAGTCAAAAGAATTTTTTCATGTTAGATTCAAAAAGGGATTTAGAAACTATTCACAAAATGGGGGTATGGGGGTGGTGGTGTGCTGCCTGCAGCCTGGTGGTTAAGGTATTTATCGGGCATATAGGAGAGGCCAGTTTTAATCCCCACTTTGGATTAGAGAGTTGAATCCAGGTATCTCCCCTCCCAGGTGAGTGCCCTAACTACTGGGCTAGAGGATATCTGTCAGTGCAGCACTCTGTCTCTCCTGTAGAAGTGCTTCACTTTGTATGAAATTATTGAATAGTCATTGGGCCAGAGAAAGAATGAAAATGACTCTACTTCAGACATGGGATGCCATCTCTTATGCATTTCTGCAGTGATTCAGTATCAACCTAAGGGATCAGGGGGGCATTAGGGGGCTAGGGCACATGACTTAGGAGGAGAGGCTAATTTAGTCTGCAGAAGAAAAGAATGAGGGGGGGATTTGATAGGAGCCTTCAACTACCTGAAGGGGGGTTCCAAAGAGGATGGAGCTTGGCTGTTCTCAGTGGTGGCAGATGACAGAACAAGGAGCAATGGTCTCAAGTTGCAGTGTGGGGGATCTAGGTTGGATATTAGGAAAAACTATTTCACTAGAAGGGTGGTGAAGCACTGGAATGGGTTACCTAGGGAAGTGGTGAAATCTCCATCCTCAGAGGTTTTTAAGGTCTGGCTTGACAAAGCCCTGGCTGGGATGATTTAGTTGAGCTTGGTTCTGCTTTGAGCAGGGGGTTGGACTAGATGACCTCCTGAGGTCTCTTCCAGCCCTAATCTTCTATGTTTCTATGATCAATTATTCAGTCACGTATGCATGTACTTAACTTTGTCTACTGTGTTACATGTTGGCTGGATGCAAACTAATTTAAATTTAATTTTCTCTTGTCATGTTCATGCAAAGCAATTGCTGATCTGTGTGCAGTGTGCAAGTTGTAAAGGGTGCTAAGCTGTGTCTCAACCCATATAAAATATATTACTTGCATTATGTGTAATGGTCTGTAATCACCACAGTTTTTGACATAAACCAACAGCACAAACACGAAGACTTAGCTATGAAGGGTTTAGTCAGATCCTTGTCCAACTCAGTTAGTTGCCACTGTGCCTGGGAGCTGGTAAGGGCTTTTTCTGTGGCATAGCTAAACCACAAGTAAATACACAAACTTAAAATGGACTTTGCATGAGTAAATTTTAGCTCACTCCAGTGTCTATGTTAAACAAATACAAAAGTGGACAAGAGAGCATGGCCAAAGTGAATCTGTAGTGTACGTTAGTTGCAGAAAACACTTTATGGTATGCCCCCAGCTCTAGCCATTAATAAGCCAAACACTTCTATGCTTAAACTGCATGTTTTAAAAAAGAATGATTTTATTGCATACACCAGCATATCAACAAATGTCAAAGCACTGGGCACATATTTAGTAGAAGTGGTGTTCTCTGCCAGTTACCCTATTGCCTTCCATGGCACTGCATGGCTGTAAATGAGTGCAGAATTTGGCCCACACAGCGATCTAGTCACAGGAAGGAATATCATAGGATTAACAATCAGTCCCCATTTCCCAGTTATGTTCACTCAAACTATAATGTTAAACTCAAGCTAGATTTATCCTTCAGTTTAATCAGCTTAATCAATATATATTATTGTAGAATGATGAACAAATCTATGAATGTGATAGGAAATAATATATGCAGTCTGTAAAGTACAATCTATTTTATATAATTATTAAATTCTTCACAAACTTTGCATGATTATAACTTTTGGAGACATCACATCCCAGTCTGGTGTTTTAGGGGAGAGATTACTCCTATTAACAAACACTGGGAGGGGATATGAATAGTCCCTTTATACTTATAGCGGATGAAGTTACTAGCAAGCCAGAGATTAACAACTTTCGGTTAATAGCGACATTATGTCAGGAGCCGAGTCCATCCCATTGACATTAATGTTAATGAGATTTGGATACTGGCAACAGGCATGCCGCTTATCAACAACTTTTCACCTCTCCCTGCTCGTCCTGCCCTGGTATTGGTGGCCCGGGCTTAGCACATCCTGGGTTTAGCACTTTCTTCTTTGGCTGCAGCCTCACAAATCTGCCTGTATCTGGGGACCCACTGCCCAAATAGGAGGTAATGGACTGGGGCACATGCATCTCCAGCCAGCGGGGAAGCCCCTGCTGGAGTCCTCGTGCTGTAGGCTGGGCGGGGAGGTTGCAGGCAGGGCAGGAGTGTGGCAGGGGGGCAGGGGGTTTCCATGGAAATCTCAGGGAAAACTTTCTAACTGTGTGAACGGTAAGACTGCCTAGGGCAGGCGTGGAAGCTTCTTCCCTGGAGGTTTTCAAAAGGAGGCTGGATAACCATCTGTCTTGGATGGTTTAGACACAACAAATCCCGCATCTTGGCAGGGGCTTAGACTAGATGACCTTTGTGGACCCTTCTAACCCTATGGGTCTATGATTCTAAATATTGGCATTAAATATCACTCCAACCTTCATTGCTCAGAAATGCTCCTGAACTGCTCCCAGTCCTCTGAGGATGGTTAAGAAGTGTGTGTGGGGGCGGGGGAACCATACAATTACTTTACACTTCAGTTATTAGGACCCAATGACAGCAACATCAATGCTGATGGCTAGAGAAGCTGGTGAGACCATAGGGGAAGCACACTTCACACTCTAACGAATGCTTTGGGGCCATTTAGAGGGCAATTTAAACTGACCAAGGAAGACCTGCAGACCATCATCACAGATGTCAGATGATATTTAATCAAAACAGGTGGTGGCTCAGAAGGGGGGTTAGACTAATGCTATGCAGGAAGCTTACACTAACACAGAGACAAGAAAAATAATTTGTCAACATTTACAAACCAGAATGTAAGTACTTAAAGATGCCAAACATCCAGCAGCTCCCATAAAGGCCCTTCCTGGGAATACATTTTGAGAAGATTGTGGTGAGACAATTCTATAATATCTGCATACTTCGTGTTTCTGTGTCCATAATGAATCTGAGTTCGGACCTGAGTATGATATGGACAGTGCACTAGTTGGGTTGGTTAATGTTGTGCTAGTGATGGATGAAGATCAGGTGGCCACTTTGATTTTGTCAGACTGATCAGCTAATATTTGGAACCATTAACACTATTATATTTGTTGAGTCATTAGCCTCTGTGATAGTTTTCATTTTGCTCCTCCTTTCAGCAATAAGGGAGGAGCGAATAAATGATTTATCCTCTAAAGCGAAATATTAGATTGATCGCTTGAGAAGTTTATGATTTTTGTCCCCCTTATCTGAGAAATTGTGGACCTTTGTTGCTGGAGATGTGTGAAGAGAGTAGGAGTCACCCACGAGTGGCTTGGCTTCTTTTGAGCAGAGAGATCACAGAGGATAGGATTGAACGATTACACTTTTGCTATGGGGGCTCTGGCTTTCTGTAGGATTATATCTTGCTCTGATGCACATTCAATGGAGAATGTAAAATGGAGATAAAACATTTTATTATTGATAGAATACCGCACTCATACATGTGCAGAAGTATGATTTTGTTTTTTGAAACCTGAGAATAACTGTAGTGAAGAGTTTGTGGGCTAAATTTTGCTCTCATTTATTTTTTGGCAAAAAACATGCTCTACTAGATACAATTACTGATATGCTCATTTATTCAATAAATAATTCTTTTGAAAAAAGTCCATATTAGACATAAAATAATTAGGTGCTTTAATGACTGGAACTGGGCACATACCATGAAACATTTTCTGTAAATAATGCTACCATGAATATGATTTTGCCCTGCTCAGCTTTGGCCCTTTTTTTAATTTGTTTAATACAGACATTGGCATGATCCAGTTGTAGTCGTGCTAATGATCATGGAAAGTAAATTTTAGTTTCGATATACAAATATTTGTTCTTGGTTTATTTTATATGTGTTGGGATTTTTGTCAACACAACAGTGGGAATAGATTTACAAAAGCCCTCATCAGCTCTTTGGCAAAGAGATAGTTGAATGAACTAGATAAGAAGCTAACCAAATCCTTTGTAACTAAGGTCTGGTCTATACTACCCGCCTGAATCGGTGGGTAGAAATCGACCTCTCGGGGATCGATTTATCGCGTCCCATTGGGACGCGACAATCGATCCCCGAATCGGCGCTCTAACTCCACCAGCGGAGGTGGTAGTAAGCGCCGCCGACAAAAAGCGGCAGAAGTCGATTTTGCCGCCGTCCTCACAACGGGGTAAGTCGGCTGCAATACGTCAAATTCAGCTACGCTATTCACGTAGCTGAATTTGCGTATCTTAAATCGACTCCCCGCTGTAGTGTAGATGTACCCTAAGACTATGCACACATGTGCTGTTGTATTTTATCAGTGACTGCTGATGTTAGAAAATTACAGGTTACTACACATACACCTGTAATTAATATATTTTATATGGACATATGGCACTGATTAACACTCTTCACAACTCACGCAGATCAGCAGCTCCTTTGTGTGAACGTGATAAGAGAAGATTAAATTTAAATGAGTTTGTATCCAGCCAACATATAATATAATAATCTAAAGTTAAGCTCGTGCATAAGTGAGTGGAGGATCCATGCCTTACTGAACAACTGAGGAAATACATGAAATGACATCACATGCCTGCAGGTGGAGGGGAATGAAGGCATTTAATTGCACAATAAACATGGTTTTAGTCATCACTGGTGTTTACTAATATGCACCTACTTTAATTGTGTCACATAATAAGTACTGCATGTCTGTCACTTCGTACTTCTCTTAACACTGGTGTTGACTGAACTGCTGTCATTCAAGCCTCCAAATCCCATCTGATGCCGTGAGTGGACTCTGGTTGGTAATATCTTTTCCTTCCTGAACTCAGGTTTACATTTTAGATGCTCTTTTGGGGGTAAAATAACTAATAACCTGTACCTCAGTCACTTGGTTTGTGTCACATTTGTATGTGGTTTTTGACAGGTCCTTAGATGGAGTTATGGTGAATGCTTGTAACATTTCTCAGAAGGAGTGAGGAGAATTGACACTGCAACTCCTCTGGTCTATATATTTTGTGGGGAGAAAAGATTGTTGGAATGAGGGACAATAGACAGAAAGTCTCCTAAGGGTAGATCTGTTCTTTTTCAGAGATTGAGACATTACTTAAAAGTTATTGTAAAATGTACTATTTACAGTACTTTTCAAAAAGTGCATGGCCCAAAAGAATATTCATCAGAATTGAGCATGATACTTTAAATTGATATAGGCGAGTATTTTTTGTGTTCTTAATACAGCATTCAATAGTGGGTTCTTTTTGTGCTGTTTTCAATCAAACCTAACTTTCAGTCTCCTGACTTGGGTCTAGCAATTTTATTTTAACAAAGTGAGGGATTGGTATCACTGCACAGAACCAGGGAGAGTGCTTGCAGGCTATATTAAAGTCATGTTTTTTAAGCACAATTGCCATTCCAGTCATATTATAAATATGTCTTTACTTGGGATATGTGATTACTATATGGGTCAAGTAGTATTGAGGTTTTATGATGTATTCTTGACAAATTTATTTTAAAAAAATAGTCTGAGAAATTTATAATCCTGGAAAGAATGGTTTATAGCAGTACGTTAGATTATAAACTCTTTGTAGCAGGGACCATGTCTTCCTATGTGTTTGGTCAACGTCCAATAAAATAGACTCCTGATCCACAATATATTATTAAGTAATAATAAAATAACAAATGTCTAGACATGGCCATTACCTGACTGGCATGAATGTATTCCTTGACATATTTTTGATCCCTATTTTTATTGTGTTTCTGTGTTTAACAAAACGTAAGACAGTAACTTACATAACACCGGTCCTGGGTATGAAGCAATTTAACTGCTTTGTAGTGCTCAAGGTATAACAGTGCTTCACATAGGACCTAATCCATCTTCTATTGCAGGCAAAGGGAGTGTTTCAGTAAGTTCAATAAGAGTTGGATATGGCCATAAATACAACAGAATCACGACAGAGACTGAAGTAGGGCCTGTCCCCGATTGAATTCAATATTACTGTGCTTGTGAGTAAGAATTGGCAGGTAAGCTGGTGATTTTTTTTTCCATTTTCCAGCGTGTATTTCACACTCTTTAGATATAGAAGAGAGTTGGCATAAACGTTACAAAGCCAAGATGTATGTTGGTAGAAATATTATTAATAGACACATTTTTTTTCACAGAAACAAGATGTGGTGGTTTATTGCAGTAGTCTGTCTAATACAAGCCATTACAAGCTCAGAAGAACTCATCAAGAAGAAAAGAAACCTGAATCCTGAAACGTTTATGAATATTGTAAGTCAAGTATTTGTGAAAATCTTAACTATAATGGAACATAATAATTAGACATAGGCCTGAAAATTCAGATTCAGGTTGAGGGCTGCATTTCAAATTTTCAACTACAACGTTTGGGAGTGTCTTGTTTTGGGATTTAGAAAAGCTCATTAAAGACATCTACCAAGTCACCTAATTGCAAACTTTGGATCCAAGTTTAGGTCCATATTTAATATTGATAATGTTTCATTAACAAGTTTTCTCTTTAACTCTTTCCCTTCCCCCACTACAGCAACACTTACTGTTTTTCCAAAAGGGCCTTCCAATTTAAGGATAGATCAGGGGAAGTATAAGTGTGCATATGAGTAAGTCAGTTATAAATGGGAGTGATCTCTTATATTCAGTTCCATGCATTTCCTTGTTCCCGGACAGAAAATTCTTCACACCTCTCTTCTCTTCTCTTCTCATATGTCATGGGTCCCTATTTTGAGGGAGGATCTGAGCCAGCAATAATGCGTCTACATAATAGTTATGCTCAAACACTTTTTTGACAACCCTTCGAGAAGTAATTGCTTGATGTATGTACATTAAGGGATTATTAAATCGATGATTATGATTTAAAGTATGAAGCATAAGATGGATCTTTACAGGAGATAAATTGTAAGAAAATGTGGAGCTGAATAGATGGAGACTTTGCAGAGGGAGTGGGTTTCAAGGAGGGAGTGAAATGAGCACAGAAAGGATGCTTGGTGTTTGGCGTGTTTCTGTGGTATTGTATTATATTTGGGGTAGTTTATACCCTTACTTTTATAAGAGGATTCATAATAAAGTTCTTTCTATCATGGAGCCAACTATTTTCTGAGATGTAAAGATACATAATTATTATAGGACAAAGCAAATCTAAAATAGTCTAAAGTTTGGTTTAATGGAAACTCCCCATTGGAGTGGATTTTAATAGCTAGAGCTGTCAGAGAATTACACAAGAGCATGCAGGATTCCTGCAGTGCTGGCCCTTCAGGTTAGGCAAGATGGAGTTCACCTACCTTGTTTTGGCTCAGGTATGTTATGATCACTATCTGCAGTTGTAAATTGTCCCTGAGAAAGATTTAGCATGTCAATTTTGCTACCAATGTTCAGTTGAGCTGTCAGCAGACCCCATTGCTTATAATCTTCTGGTTCTTACGAGTTCCTAAAGCTGGCATTTTCCAGAATGCTCTGCACAAACCTACTTCTCACATACTAGGATGAAGTGTTTATATTATCAAATACTGAGGCTCTGGGACCCAGACCTATCTCCCCTCCATGTGCTTAATTACCTTTCTGTTTGGGTTCATGTCACAGTCCTGGCAAAGCTCCCCCAGCTGGACACTCACTAAGCTGCTGTGTTTGGGCCTCATATACTGGGCCCACGTGCTTTAAGCATCCCTAGTCTGAGTAGTCTGTAACACTGTCTCTTTTCTTGGCCTCTCTGGCATGCTTCCTGGGCACAGGCTCCTTGTTTGTTACCCCGTCACTGAGATAGGGCCTCGTGGCCCACCACGGTAGGCCCCCACCAGTGCCAATACCCAGATTCCCCCATAATTTAAGATCACCCTATCCCTGAGCTCCTAGTTTGTGGGAACTCTGTGTTTATAGTGAAGGAAACAGATGCAGGGATTTCTCAAAAGATTCCAAAACCCAATCACTCTTTACTTTAGCTAGCACAAGGAAGACAGAACTAGACAAAACTATAAGATACCTGTACACATTTTCCTGTCTCAGTTTCCTCAGCACTCTTGAGCATTCTTTGAGCTTAGGGCAGAGTACACTAAGGAGTCCAGGATACCATCTCCTGTACATGGCTTTCCCTCCAAATCATGGAGTCTCTCCTCTTCTCTGCACACAGTTTCCTTATTCCTCAGCCAGTCCTGCAGTTAAATAGAACTCTTTTACTATGACAGCATGTCCCTCTGTTCCTCTTTCCTGGCCAAATGCCCTTTGTGTCATTCTTTGAGTTCCTCTTCGTCAGTGATCAGGCTCATCAGGTGACCAGAGTCCCACCACATGATCTATTGTTTAGTTACCTCCTCCTTGGAGTTCAGATGTGAAAAACTGGTTTGCTCTGGGCAGCAATCATCTCTTTGCTAAAGGTGCTCCATTTGAATGGAGGCTCATCAAAGTTGAGTGGCCTACCGTTGTCCCTGATCAGAGAGACAGGCGACAATCCTGACAGCTGATGGTGAATTGTACACATTCAATTTCAGCAATTTCATAAAATCAACCAGAATTCTTAAATTGTACTTAGACAAATTCCGCAAATCATCACAGATCAAAAGTTACTTTTTACTATATTTTTCTCATTTATTAATCATTGACCCTTTTTTTGCATCTAAAATGCTTAACTTATTGAGGATTTCTTGAAATGACTATTCCAATGAAAACTATTTTCAAATAATAGATTCCTGAATATTTATTCTCTTCTGACTAATGCCATTACTTTTGGATGTGCGAAGGAAGAACATGGAAATGTTTACATTCTTTGTGGAGAAATTTTCTAAGCTTTTCCACAGCTAATCCAGCCTTCTTGGCACCTCCTTGTTCAAGTAATTGGGCTGGAAATCTCAGGAGAACAGGCTCTCTGGGAATATTTTCAATACTTTCTGGTTTGGGACAGGTTAGGAATACAATTCTCTCACTATTTTAGGCTTTGTTCCATATCCCTGTTGAAACCAGTTAAGTGCAGGAACTCATAAAATTTAAACACTCACACTAACACTTCCTAGTGGGAAATGCTCTCTTCCTTGCAACAGATAATGAAAAATCTGATACATGTAAACAATCTTAGACATTTATTTTAATTCCCTCAGAGTCAGTTGATCTGCTATGAAGGATATCCCAGTAAGGAGTATGAAGTTCTGACAGAGGATGGCTATTACTTGAAAATAAACAGAATTCCTTATGGCAGAGAAAAACCTACAGACAGAGGTATGGCTCCATTTTGCTTGATGCACAAAACCCCAAATAACACTCATCCAAAATAAAAATAAACAACCAACCCACCAATCCAGGTAAAAAAAGATATATTGGAGACATGTTTAATATCTGTGGCAAAATCCTGAACCCAAATTTCAGACTGAAAACCAATCAATCAAGTCTTTACAAAAACAGGGTGAGGAAAATTGAGAATGATTAGGTTATGGTTTTTGACATTAGCAATAACATAAATTTGAGAACAGGAGAGGCTGGATGCCTGTTGGCTGAGTTGCACCGTGATTTTTTCTTATAAATTTGTGACTTCTGTATATTTTGTTCTGTTTGGTTGTTGTTATGTCAAGCAACCAGCCTTAGTTATGAGCAACCAAAAGCAGGGATTTAGTATGGAAATACTTAGGAAATCTTAACTACAGCTGTTAGCAGCATTAAAGCTAATTATATGTGTATATGTATAGAATACTAATGACAGCCATAGCTAAACTTCCCTAAACATTTCCATTCTAAACCCCTCTTTACACTTGCTTTTAACTATAGCTAATTATTTGCCATGGGGTATCATACTTGTGGGTGTGCTCTGATATAAAGGTTTTATCAGCATGTGTTTGGGATGAGTGAAATACAGTATGTCACTTTGCCATGTTACAGAACTACATGTTTGGTAAAGTATTCCATTTATTTAGGTCCAAAGCCAGCTGTGCTTCTCCAGCATGGATTGTTTGGTCAAGGTAGCAACTGGATCGAAAATTTGGCCAACAACAGCCTGGGCTTCATGCTAGCAGATGCTGGCTATGATGTTTGGATAGGAAATAGCAGAGGGACAACCTGGTCTCAAAGACATCAGAAATTTTCAATTGCCCAAGAGGAATTTTGGGATTTCAGGTAGGCTGAACTGGAGAAAAACTAGTGAAAATGGCAAACTGTTTTGCATGTTGGCAATTCTGTATGTGCAGTGATCTATGTTTCTCTTAATTCATGTGAACATCAATTTGTGTGGTTTGTGCACAGCAATGGTGATCAGATAGGATTTAGATCCTGTAATTTTGTATGAATTTCCATTTGGCTCCATTGTCATGGCCTTGGGAGGCCATCAGTTTAAATCAGCAGAGAACCTCCTCCTGCACCCCGTACTCACATCATTAATGCCACTGATTTCAGTAGCAGTAGGATTGAAAGATGTAGCACAGAGCTAAACAGAACCCTCTGTGTGGTAGAAACCTTTGCATTGAAACGCGTCATTGTCAGGGCCATTACTCACCTACAGAAATATATTGTGCTGTTAGATAGGTTTAGTTCATTAAATATCACAAGGAAACTTTCCCTCACTGCAATCCTATCCAGTGGCCAAGGGCAGTCAGTCCCTGAGCATAAAACAGAACGGGGATTGCTCTCACCTTGGGCATAGTGTTTGCCCCAAAGAGGGTAAGGAGGAGCATGGAACAGGCCCTGCCCTCTTCCATTTGCACCAGTCCAGAGTGGGCAAGGTGAACGATGGGGAGGAGGCAGCACCATGCTAAAGGTGCAGCTGCACATTTTCTTTCACATGGGGAAGCTCAGGCATAAAATGCATGGAATACAGGTTTCAGGCAATGTTATCAAGCTTTCCAATTGGCTGCTGCCTCCCCTTTGGGCATTATTTAACTATTGCTGAGCCATTTCTAACAAGCTTGTTAGTGATTAACTGGAACTGGGTCTAGTTATTAGAATACCCTCTAAAGCACATTGCCATTTTCCTTTAGCACAGAAGCAGAATTAAAAGAGCATTGGGCTAACATTAATTCACACATCATGTCTTGGCCAACAGAGCATTATATTTCCTAGGCTTGTACATACACTCAATATTGAAAAATAAATAAAGCATCTGTATTATGTAGAGAGACAAAGACTCAAACTCTAGGCTGGCAAACTTAGGCTGGGCTGGATCCCTGAAGAGTTTGAGCTGTTATCTGATAGACCCATAGTTCATCAGTGCTGCATTCAAATGTATATGGGCAGGATTTGCCGGCCAGATTCTCTCCATAGCCAGAGCTCCGCTCCCTGCAAAGCTGGTTACAGCTCCCTGATTCTAAGAGCAAGTCTTGCCAATTTTCAGATGCTGCTGAGCTGCTGAAAGCTGCAGCACTCATATAGGGTCTTTAATGGACCCTTTACCAGTGAAGTGGTTGAGGGAAGGATGGGGTAGTAGCCAGAAGCACAGCCCCAAGTCCCATGCAGTTGCACTCAGCAGAGAGCTTCCCTACACAATGGGAATTTTCTCCTGGAAATTTATCCCCAAATTCCAGCCCCTTAATGTCACCTTAGTGGTGCATAGGAGCCATAACTTACTTGAGAATCTGGCCCTATAACTTCATTATGTGGCTAACTTCATATTTTTATATTGCAGTTTTCATGAAATGGGCAAATATGACCTTCAAGCTATGATTAACTTTATTCTGCAGAAAACTGGACAGAAGCAACTGTATTATGTTGGCTACTCTCAGGGCGGCACTATGGGTATGCTAGCAGAATTTGGTGCATTTGCATTGTACTTTTCTCTCTCTAAGTATGAAAGGCTTTCTCTGGGCTATTAGAAAGGCCGTACCGGGTCAGACCAAAGGTCCATCTAGCCCAGTATCCTGTCTACCAACAGTGGCCAATGCCAGGTGCCCCAGAGGGAGTGAACCTAACAGGCAATGATCAAGTGATCTCTCTCCTGCCATCCATCTCCATCCTCTGACAGACAGAGGCTAGGGACACCATTCCTTACCCGTCCTGGCTAATTGCCCTTAATGGACTTAACCACCATGAATTTATCCAGTTCTCTTTTAAACTCTGTTACAGTCCTAGCCTTCACAACCTTCTCAGGTATGGAGTTCCACAAGTTGACTGTGCGCTGCGTGAAGAAGAACTTCCTTTTATTTGTTTTAAACCTGCTGCCTATTAATTTCATTTGATGACCCCTAGTTCTTGTATTATGGGAATAAGTAAATAACTTTTCCTTATCCACTTTCTCCACATCACTCATGATTTTATATACCTCTATCATATCCCCTCTTAGTCTCCACTTTTCCAAGCTGAAGAGTCCTAGCCTCTTTAATCTCTCCTCATATGGGACCCGTTCCAAACCCTTAATAATTTTAGTTGCCCTTTTCTGAACCTTTTCTAGTGCCAGTATATCTTTTTTGAGATGAGGAGACCACATCTGTATGCAGTATTCGAGATGAGGGCGTACCATCGATTTATATAAGGGCAATAATAATATTCTCAGTCTTATTCTCTATCCCCTTTTTAATGATTCCTAACGTCCTGTTTGCTTTTAACGTTCTGCACACTGCGTGGACATTTTCAGAGAACTATCCACGATGACTCCAAGATCTTTTTCCTGACTTATTGTAGCTAAATTAGCCCCCATCATATTGTAT